ACCGCCCGCTCCCGTCTGGGGCAACCTTAAAACCGCCCGCTCCCGTCTGGGGCAACCTTAAAACCGCCCGCTCCCGTCTGGGGCAACCTTAAAACCGCACGCTCCCGTCTGGGGCAACCTTAAAACCGCCCGCTCCTGCGAGATTTGCGTTGGGTCCCGCAGGACCCCAGTCCCAATGCGGGGCTCTAGTGTGTACTATAGGAACAATTCACAGGCGACTACATCGCCCGTCTAGTATAGAATTAATAAGAGTCATTCATTGTCATCCCATCACCATTGTATTCTGGGAAGTGGTAATTGTCCAACACCAGCATCCGCCAGTTCACCTAGCAGATATACGTATGAGGTGATCAAGGCATTGAACAATTCTTTTCGTGTATGGACTGATCACCCCATCTTCTTACCTGAGATGACCTTTGGGTGACCTTTAGTACAGTAGAACTTCTCAATATCAGTCATGAGTACGTGGCCAGACTTGGTGGGATCAAGCTTCATGTAAGCCTAAAGACCAGCAGAAATATTATTTCATTTTTATAAGAACCACAAGCACAACATACATACCTTTTTCATTAAATTTCCTTCCTTATCTGTCTTCCTTCCTACCTACTGCCATCAGGCACCCCAACACCTGCTCCCAATACTGCCTACAAATGAGTGTGATAGTATCGCATCACATGACCTGGCCACCTGACCTAAACACAGTAGAAATGCTTTGGGGGGAGTTTGGCCAGAGAGTGATGGAAAAGCTGCCGATTAGAGCTCAAGATATATGTGGGACCTCCGTCAGGACAGCTGGAAAAGCATCACAGGAGGCCACCTCACGAAAATGGTGTAGAGGAGAATGTAGGTCAGCCAGTCCCTGGAGCAATTGGGGTTAAGGGCCTTGCTCAGAGGCCCAATGGAGGGATCATTCGGCAGATCATGGGATTTGATCCGACAACCTTTTGAGTTCCCACTCACGGAGCTGCCGCCCCAAACCCCCACCACCACCAAATAAATTATCATTTTTTTGTTTAATACTTTCTTGGCCAGTGCATAATGGCATGTGTTTTATGGTTTTGGTGTCTCTATAATTATTCTAAAATGTATAGAATAATGCAAACCTTTCTATGGGTGTGTCCAAACCTTTGACTGGTACTGCATATCTATTTGTTTACTTTGTTTACGTTCTTTTTCAGGGTGTTATGTCTGTGTACTGTTTCATGTTATTTGCACTATGTTTATTTGTCTACATTACATGTAGGGTCTTGCATTTTGTCTTGTTTTGTATTTTATGTTTCTTTGCCTGTACTCACACACATTGCTGCTTTATGCAAAATAATTTCCCCCTAGCATCAACAAAACTCATCTTTCATTTCATTTTGTCAGCACGTTAGAGCCCTGTTATTTTACTTTTAGCTGAGCTCTGTTACTTTAGCTTTCCCTATTCTGTCATTCCCGCTACTCCTAATTACTCTGTTCCCAGCTGTGTTACCCTAACCCTGTCTTTCAGGTAAAACATTCCAAGGTTCTGATAAATCCAAGATGGTTGCAAAATTTGAACCTTCCGTATCACCTAGGGAACCAGTTAGATTTCTGTTTTAATCCCACAGGCTTGATTGTAAACAAGGTTATAATATCAGTATATTGAACGTTCACAATAAACTACTTTGAGAGATCACCCATGTTTCCATGCCGATAGTGAAACTGCAGGTTTGCAACCCGCTCTAATTAAGGCTAGGCAGTGCCCCACCCCCCCGGCCTGAGCGTTTAGCTGCCAGCCCTCCTGTTGGTGTTGCCCTCATTCTGACACCCCCAGTAACACCTTCATCTTTCCTATTAAATGAACAGTACATGTAATACACACTCAAAGCACGGGGAGTGGCAAATTCTCAGAAGAGTTCATTCTAAGAGAATGCTAATCCTTGCTCTAAGGATGTACTGTAGGGCTTCAGACATGCAAAGTAAAGTACCATATCTCCTTTGTCCTGCCAATCCTATTAGCAGACAAATAAATTCCTGGTACTTGCCCAATGTACCAAATAAGTTTTGAAGAAAAAAAACTGTAGGATTATCCATCCCCCAAATATATCAACCCAACCTGGATCATTAGTTAGATTCAATGACACTGTTTAGTTTTATGCATTTTAGTTTCAGTTCCAGTTAGTTATTCTTAGGGATAGACTGAAGGTTGCAAAGCTATTTTATACGTGTTTGATCTTCAGAGAATCCTGCCTGAATACACAGTGCACATTATGTGCTAATGTCCTCAGAGCGGGCAAAATGTGTACCAGGTGTTATTAAATGTCATTTAAGACAAAGAAATCTTACTTTAAAATAATATTAAAAATAATAGCAGAAAGTGTTTGACATTTGTTTTTATTTCAGTTAGTTTTAGCAGAAATATTTATAGTTTTCATGTAGTTTTAGCTTCGCATTTTATTTTCGTGTCTTATTTAAGTTTATGATAATGATAATGCTTTTTATAGTGTTAATGAAACTAACAACAATAACCCTATCACAAACACCAGAGGCTAAATGCACTGACATTTTTAAGAAGTGTTTTTGTGTTTTTATTTTGTAGTTATATATTCAGCCAAATGCAATGTAGAGTACATACCATACACACTCAAAGGACAGGGAGTGACAAATTCTCAGAATTGTTCATTCCAAAAGACTGCTGATCCCTGCTGAGACGGTGTAGCGCTTCAGACATGCAATGTTAGGTTAAGTCTCCCCAACCCCAACAGGCCTAGTAACACCTTCTTTCCTATATATAAACATAAGTTGAATTGAATTGTTAATCTACATGGTGCGTTCTTTTCTATATCTGTCATCACCAGCAGTCAGAATCTCTCCGAATGATTAACATCCATGACCTGGACAGTTAAACTCCTGTTTAGCCTGATCATCTTCTTTGACCTCATTTCCTGTTGAGGTGCTTGTTTTGCGAGTCTACCAGCGGAAATTCTGCATCAGCATGGTGATCTTTTATTGGGCATTGTCACACTTTCACACTAATATTCAGCCACCCTAAATATCACCAACTGTTGGGTTTGTCAACATATCCCTATCTCCTTCTCAGCTAGTCTTCTGATGATAGAGATGCCATCTATAAAGTTAGTGTACTGCTTTTTGAAGGGAACAGCTAATTTTGAGAAATGGTGCATCTCTGTAGACTTATCTGTCTCCCAAGCATATCGGATTATTCCTGATCTGGCTCATTAATTAGATTCATTGCGGTGAAAGTGATTATGAAACCATAACCAACTGAATCCATTGTGCAGAATATGCTAAAGTGCAATTTTCTCCTGAATTTTTTTAATACATTCAACTATCTTCCTGTCAGAAGTGACTCTCCTACACAAGATAAGTAAACAGGTGTGGGTAACATTAGGGTAAGGTTCAGCTTTAAGTAAATAGGTTGGAGTATTGGTTTAGGGTCAGGTATACAGATATGGGTGATGTTTTAGTGTTAGGTAAACAAGTTAGATTAGGTGGTTAGGATCTGGGTGAACAGATTAGGGTAGTGAAGTGTAATAGGCATTTAGGGTATACAAGTTAGTTTAATGGTTTAGGGTCGGGTATACAAGTCGTGGATGTGGATTAATAGTTTCGAACACAAGTTAGGGTAGTGGACTAAGAGTCATGAATACGGGGTTGGGTAGTGTTATAGGTTCACATACACCATGTCGAACTATTTTACCTTTCGGACAAAAGATTTCCGGAACTCATTCATTTCTCCAATGACACCTCGAATGAACTCACTGCAATCCACACAACCATCACCATCTTCATCCAGGATACGCCAGATATCATCGAGCTCCTTAAAAAGGTGGGGGATGGGAGACATACATATTGCAAAGACAACGTACTGAATCAAAAGTGAAATGATAAAAAACATCAGCGATGCGCACAAACCAGTGTTAAGTTTTCTTTTTTAAATTTAGTGTTTATTTTCATATTATTTTCAATTTTTAATTGAAATTCAGCTTAGTTGTAGTTTTCAGAGAGGTTTTACTAGTTTTCATTTTAAATATTTCTATTTGGTTTTTGTGTATTTTAGTTTCAGTTCAATTTTCAATTATTTTATTTCTAGGGATAGACTAGAAATACTATTAGTATTAAAAAACAGTAACAGAAAATGTTTGACTTTTGTGCTTATTTAACTTCTGCTAGTTTTGAAGTAACATTTATAGTTTTCCCCTTAGTTGCAGTTATTTTATTTTCATGTCTTATGAAAAATTACAAAAAATGTTTTCTTATAGTGTGAGTTTCATTAACGATAATAACCCTGTCCCAAACCAAACAAAACTGAGGCTAAACGTATTGACATTTTTAAGTAAGGAGTTTGTGATTGCTGGCATCTACTAAAGCTATCCATCCATCCATCCATCTTCCATACTTGCTTGTCCTATTCAGGGTCTGGAGCTAATCTGGGAGACTACAGACACATTTATTTATTACGAAATTCATTAATTAGGCCATAAGCAACGAACAACACGTATAACACGCACCCAAAGGTCAGGGAGTGATACATTCTCCTAATTGTTTAGTTTGTGAGAATGTTTAGCGCTGCCAAAAGGCTCACCTTGTCAGACAAGCTGAGCCGGTATTCCTCTAGAACCCTCCAGGCCTCATCCCTTGTCAGCAACCCGTCGCCGTTTCTCTCTTTCATCTGGAGGTGCTGCCCCAGACTCACGAGGGTGCGAATACCTCTCTCCTTCAGCTTCTCCCGCACCCTCCCTGAATGACATTAAAGCCAGAACTACCAGACTTAGGCACAGTTTTTACCCCAATGTGGTAACCACATACTATACACTGATCAGCCATAACATTAAAACCACCTGCTAAATATTGTGTAGGCCCCCCTTGTGCCGTCAAAAGCTCTGACCCATTGAGGCAGATAACCCATTTGTTATGGCTGATGACCTCGAAAGGTGTCCTGTGGTATCTGGCACCAAGACATTAGCAGCAGATCCTTTTAGTCCAGTAAGTTACAAGGTGTGGGTCTCCATGGATCGGATGTGATTGTCCTGAACATCCCGAGACTGAGATCTGAAAAATTTGGAGGCCAAGTCAACACCTTGAACTCTTGTTCATGTTCCTCAAACCATTTCTGAACAATTCATGGCGTACTGTCCTGTTGAAAGAGGCCACTACCATTGGGGCATACCATTACCATGAAGGGGTATACTTTGTCTGTAACAATGTTAGGTAGGTAGTACTTGTCAAAGTAACATGCCAGGACCCATGGTGTCCCAGAGCATCACATTGCCTCCGCCAGTTTGCCGCCTTCCCATAGTGCATCCTGGTGCCATCCCTTCTCCAGGTAAATGACACACATGTACATCCACATGATGTAACAAAAAACGTGACTCATCAGATAAGGCCACCTTCTCCCATTACTCCATGGTCCAGTTCTAACACTTACGTGGCCGTTGTAGGAACTCTCTGTGGTGGGCAGGGGTCAGCATGGGCATTCTAACCAGTCTACGGGCACACAGCCCCACCCATAGCAAGCTACGTTGCACTGTGTGTTCTGAACCTTGTTGGATTGGACCAACCTTGACCCCCCCACAAGCATCAATGAGCCTTGGGTGTCACCAGTTCACTGCTTGGTCTTCCTTGGACCACTTTTGGTAGGTACTGACCACTGCATACCAGGCAAACCCCACAAGAGACACTGTGACCCAGTCACATCACAATTTGGCCCTAGTCAAAGTCACTCAGATCCTTACACTTGCCCACTTCTCCACTTCCAACACATAAATTTCAGGAACTGACTGTTTACTTGCTTAATATATAAGTGCACCCTTAACAGAGGCTGTTGAAATAAGATCAGAATCATAATCGAGTTTATTGCCAAGTACGTTCACATATACAGGGAATTTGCTTTGGTGGTTGGTGCCAGACTTCGAGAGATGAGGTGGTTAATATATAAATATATATACATGGAGTATGTTCAGGTACTAATATAAATATAAATAGTTAGTGTATGTGAAATATGATACAGCAGTGGACAGTGCATGCTTGTGCTAGGATGGAGAAATAGAATTTGAGTGAGTGTTCCTGGCATTATTGATGAGGCGGGCCGCGGTGGGGAAGAAACTGGTCCTATGATAATCAATATCAATATGATAATAATAGATAATCAATGTTATTCACTCCACCTGTCAATGGTTTTGTTATGGCTCATCCGTATATATGAAATTTGTACTTGAGCATATTAATTGGGTATTTTGTACATATTTTTCACGTACTGCATGTCTTGTGACATTGCACTGCTTACAGAGTTGCTAAGCCAATCGCGCTGTGCTGACGTGTATGATGACACCAATGATTAAAGAATTTAAATAATAATATTAAATAAATATTTACCTTGAATGACTTTCAGGGTGTTCCTGTCTTCAAGTTCGTCCTGCTTACCGTCTCCAACTGAGCACCTGCAAGCAAATTATAAACCACATTCCTTCCAAACTGTAAATATCTACTCTGTTGTAATAGTTATGTAGTAGTCTTGTTGTATTTATGAAACATTGCTAATCGAAATATTCCACTAATTCTAAAATTGGTTTAAATGAATTGTATCATTAAATTAAGTATAATTAAAACCAAAATTCAGATTCATTCAAATTTGTCTCTTCCTGACATTTGCATCACATTTTTATTCGTTAATAAGCATCAATATATTTCATCAGCGTTCTTGGCATCATAGATTCATTTTAATTTTATTATCGTCTCATTTTTGTCAATGAAAAAATCTTCATCGTCTAATAATTTTAGTTTTAGTTTTCGATAAAATTAACATTGATATGAACTGAAGCCTATGAGGAACTGATATTGGGTAAGTTGTTACAATGCTAACTTTGTTAACAGTTTAACTAAACCGATGTGCGTGCACTCACAGCAGCTTGTTCTTAGTCAGCTCGTCCACGTCAGTGATTCGGACCCACAGCCAAGGTCTCTGCCTCACACACTCTGGCAGGTTCTGTCCGCTTGTGGAGAACAGCAAGCTGGCCCCCTTTTATGATTCAGAGACCGGTAGCGACAAATCCCAAAAATAAGAGAAAGTGTTGCCGCAGGAATGGCAGCCATGTTGATAGACTTCAGCCTTGAAATTATCAGTCATATCACCTGCAGTTCAGCCTAAGTACACCATCTGAAGCTAAGCAGGTGTTAGCATGGCTAGTACTTGCATGCGAGACCAACTATGAAAGCTAGGTTGCTGCTGGAAGAGGTGTGGGTGTGGCCAACAGGGAAGCCCATCCTGTGGGCAGTGTGGATCCCAGTGTCCCAGTGCAGTGATGGTGACACTGTGACCAACAGTGGAGCCCATCCTGTGATCTGTGTGGGTACTGATGCTTCAGTGCAGTGATGGGGACACTGAGTTGGCTGAAATGGCACCATCCTTTGGATGATATGTAAAACCAAGGTCCTGACTCTCTGAGGTCATAAAAGATCCCTGGGGATCTTTTGAAAGAGTAGGGGTGGTACCCTGATGTGCTAGCTAAAACTACCCAGTGACCCTATCAAATTTGGCCTCCTAATCATCCCCTATATCCAGTGTGCGAAATACGGGGGGTCCAGGGGGGTCTGACACCCCCTGAAAGCCTCAAAAGCAAAATTTTAAGTGGGTCTCAAGATCGGTAACAATAGGGAGATGGGGACCTCCCTCGAATATTGACGGGTATTTCGCACACTGCCTATATCTGGTGAATTCTCTCCTGTCCCATCACCACCTTAGCTACTGTGTGGTGAGTGCACTGGCATACAGTGCCTACTGCCTCATCGTCCAGTTTGGTGCTACACCGTGCTCGTGGTTATGTTGAGAGAATCCCAATCTCTCTGCTGCAAGTGCTATGAAGATCAGACAGCTGCAAATCCCAAGGGTAGAACCTTTTCTTACTACTACCCACGCAGTTAAATGTACCCTGACATGCATAGTATTTTTTATTTTTTTTGACTAGAAGGCGGGTTAGTGTTCACCATTTTGTACTTGGCCTTCTTCTAAACTGATTAGGTGAACTTAATTTCCAGCCCTGGCTGAGCACAGGGATCCAAAACGCTCCACACAGGGGGAATGTGAGCATTAGTAATACTGCCTACTGCTGAGGCTAATCTGAAATGCTAGGAAGCTAATCTGAAATGCTAGGAAGCTAATCTGAAATGCTAGGAAGCTAATCTGAAATGCTAGTCCAGGAGGCACACAGTTGGGGTTTGTCATGACAGACATTATGTACAGAATCTGCATACTTGACACCAGTCACAGATAGCTGGATGGTTGGACCATACCACCATGGCCCCGGGCTTACCACGCAGATGTCATGGATGCTGTACGGACTGCCCTTCCTCCTGCCACACTGATGCCGGTAGCTCCCCTTGGGAATGAACGGAAGCGCGTTGGTCCTGGGAGAAAAAACATGGTGAGGATGACGGCTCAAAATCACACAAGCCAAAAAAAAAGTGTTTTTTTTTTACCTGTTTTTTCCAAAGTGGCGGTACTCATATATGGTCAACGTATCGTCATAAGTGAAGAAAAATCCAACCAGCTCTCTGCTAGCGTCACGGCCGTTCCTCAGAACGAAATGCAAAAGAGTTTATCACAGTCCTGCTTGGGGATGGTTGCAGACTTATTATTCGGGGTAGATCCGGGCCATTTCATTACAACAGTTAGCTGCCTACCTTCCTCAACACTTATGATGATCTTTTTAGTGTCCTCAGACTAAAAACACATTTACCATAAAATAACCATATTACTTGTTACAAAATGTGAACAGAAGACATTCTTCTGAGTTTTTATTGTAATACTCTTAATTTGCATATGTTCATTTGTTAGTTTAAAAATGTTCATTTTAATGGTCATTTATGGGTGTTTTTTCTGAGCAAATGTAAACCCAGAAAAATAACTATAAATATTTTGTTTGACTGCCTAAAATATTTGCAGAGTAGGTCTACTGCATAATGTGAAGTGCTTCCACACGACTGTGGCTTTCACTCTTCTTGTGGACCCTCATCCGTTTTGCAAATTTTAGTTGCGTTTGAGGAAACTGGAGGACCTGAAGGAAACCCGTGTGAATGCTGGGTAAACACGCAAACTCCACAGTGCCCCTGCCCCCCCGACCCACATAGGCATTATTCCTGTTGACCACATACAACGCTACCTTGAAAGCAGACGAGCAACGAAACGCAGCTTGTTGGACAGTAAATGCTCCGTCATCGTCGAGCTGGTTTTCACTCTGAGGAAATCAAGGAACAGCTAATTAGCCACAAACCCGTGGTGCAACTTTACTTCTTTAACTCATTTTTAACTAGACATCAAACTCTCTCTCCCATAGCAAACACTCACTTTGTCTCATGCAGTGTTCTTTTCTTGAATCGCAAAGGCACATATCCAAATGCAGCAGACGGGATTCGCTCCAGAGCAGATGAGTTCTGATCAGGGTCACTTATGACGGCCCTAAGATGTCGAAACACGTCACCTAAGCACAGGCTCATAAAACTACTCCAGAAGCATAGGTGTCACTAACACCTGCTTACCGGGAGAGCTGGTCCACCATGACCTGCTCCACCACAGCTTGCGTTCTCTTTTCCATGGCAACATCCTCCTGCAAGACCAATATCCCTGCCGCTGTCATTCACGCAACTCTCATTGCGGCAAGACACCCCGTCATGATTTTAAAAAATGGAGCTTGGCTTATTAAACATGAATTAATTATGTATGAAATAATAAAATTATATCCATCCATCCATCCATAACCACTCAGTCCAGCACAGAGTTACAATGAGTCTGCTGCCTATGGCAGGAAGCACAGGGAACAAAGCAGAGGATACTGAAACAGAATGTAATTATCTAGGGTGACCAGATAATCCATGTCAGGGAGGACACTTTGAGCTACTTCGGGTTTTACAAACTACTTTTTAATTGAAAGGCTCCTGTGCTCGGCTAAATAGTTCAGCTCTTCTTGTGCTTTGACTGGTTTGTTTCCTTGACTGAAAGACTCATCCAGCTGTTTCACATTAGCATTAGTGACACATGCATGATTATAGGAGACTGACCAATCAGCACACAGCAAGAGCTCATTGCTCAAGTGAAATTCGGGTCCTTTTAATTGAAATGGTAATTTACAATTCCTGTCCTAGCTCAGAGTGTCCTCCCTGACATGGATTATCTGGTCACCCTAAATTATCAAATTATTAATTAAACTTAGTCATTCTCCTGACTGAACAGGAGTGAGACTAATTCAATTTCTTTAACCCACGACTAGAGGGAAGGAGGGGGGGGGGGCACACATTTCGTAAGAATTCCTAGCTTCACTAGTCCTGTTTATACAGCAGACATTCCTCTCCGGGATGCGCATCCCAAAAGTGATCGATCTTAGCGAATAACGGACAAGATAACGAACGATGTAGGAAAAGAACGAGTGAGATCCACAAGTGTTTCCCAAAACCCTTTGTTATTCCAGAATTAATTAACAAATTTTAAGTAGTACTTCGGTGGCTCCGCCCTAGCCTCTGCGTAAAAAAAGCACCGACGGTCAATAACAGGAACATCGATGCCACGTATTTCAATGGTGAAATATGTTATATGACTGTCACAGCAGCCATATGCAAACGTAAATAAAAATAAAAAGTAGAAAATCAATAAAAACAAACCAAGGCAACCAAGATTAAGACCAAAATATATAAGCCTATTTGTTGAAAAATTTTAAATGGCCTCAAAATGTGATGCTGCTGCCTTATTAAAAAGAGCAATGAAGAGTAGTGTTACGTGCGTGCAGGCAGGCGAGCGGGGAAGCAGGCGAGTAGAGCCGTTAATACGGACAAACGGGGTTTATTCACTGGACAGGAGGCACACCAGGCAAAACGAGCACTAAACATCACAAATGACAGATCTAGGCAAACTCACGCAGACGCGGACTAAATACACAAGACAGGTTGAACTGAACAAGCAACAGGTGATTACAATCGGGGTAGTACACGTAGGTAATGAGGGGCGTGGCACACACGAGGATCGTACGAGCCGGACGTGACAAGTAGCAGTAGGAAAAGGAAGTAACACTCAAAAAAAGCCTTTAAACAGCTTATTGAGAAGGTGGTTAAAAATATATATTTTAATAAAATAATTACTGCAATGTTACCAACGTACTGTAACACGTACAAGAATAACAGCACAGCAGCTTTCAGCAAGAAATCTTATCGCTCCCAGGAAGGTGTGCAGGCACCAGAATCACATCGTCCATATGCCCAAAGCACATGGATTCAACACTGGAGTTAACAGGTACTCGCTAAGAGGGGCCTGATGTCTCTCAATAACCAGCCACCAGCAAATGTACCATCCTTTGCCATCTGCATTGTAGGTGCAGGTGGGATTCAAGGGGCTGCAAATATAAATAGGGTTGATGGTTCCATCCGATGCACCTAAAATTCCAGGTATGGCTGCAATGGCATGGAAACCAATTTTAGTGTCATGCAAGGCATCCTCTCCTGTTGGAAAATGTATGTAGTTGTGTGCACAGTGCAGTGATGCAGTGATCCACACATGCAGGGATGCAGGACACAGCAGCCTTCCTGAGGCCATGTGCATCTAGGTCAGCAGGTATCCACCGGTGGTGTAGAAGCAGAGAGCTGTCAGAAGCTACACAATGAACTGAGAGCAAAATTCTGCTGTGTTCCTCTTTTCAATTTATCCTGCACCAGACCAGGAAGCTCATTATTTCACCCCATGCCAGCCTGTGTTTCTCAATGAATTGTTAATTACCAGAGGTGGAGATTTCTGGTCCAGAGAGTACAAATCCAGACCAAGATTTTGTTTCAACCAACCAGTTGAGTCACACTGTGACTGAGACTCTTTATACTCAACTGGTTGGTTGAAACAAAATGCTGGTCTGGATTTGTACTCTCTGGACCAGAAATCTCCACCTCTGTTCATTACTGAAATCGTCCAAGGTGCTAATGGCCACCCGCAGAACAGCATTTAGACAAACAACTTGGCTTCCTGGATACTGCTGTATCAAACGCCGTCTTCAGCTCACTTATACAATTCCCTGCCATTTCTGGTCGTGAGGGGTGATTCACCTTCCCAATTCAAAGGATGTGACTGAACACATAGCAAGTGTACCTGCTTATCTCATTATGTAGCCTACCAGGGTTGTTCAGTATTTATGAATTGTGCCCCATTCCATTCATGAATTGGAATTTGAACTGAATTGGACACACCATGTAAAATGTTGAATTCTTTTCATTCCAAAGCAATTCAATTTAATCATACAACACAACAATGCCACTTAATCTAGTGCAACATAAATAATTACATAATAGATTTACTTTCATGATAGTAAATGTAAATATTTAACTTATACATGTACTAATGAAAGTAGGGAACTTTATATTTGAGTGATTGTAAGATAAAAATCATGTAACTGTTTTAGCCTATTCTAACAATACGTATTTGGTTTATATCGGCCCTCAAAGTCCTCCTCTATGAGCATGTATTTATTGATATTTGCATATTAACCTATTCATGTGCATAAGTGGGTGGCACAGTGGCCTCACACCTCTGGGACCAGGGTTCCAGTCTCTGCCAGGGTTCCACATATGTGGATTTTGAATGTTCTCCCCGCATCCTTATGCGGTTTCCTCTGGGTACTCCAGTTTCCGCCCCCCCCCCCCCCAAGCTGAGGTTAACTGGAGTTACCAAATTGCTCATAGGTATGCATGTGTGAGTGACTGGTGTATGAGTGTGCCCTGTGATTGGTTAGCGCCCCATGATGTATGAGTGTGCCCTGTGGTGGGTTGGTGCCCCATCCCGCGTTGTTCCCTGCATTGACCCCTGCAGCCTCTGGGATAGGCTCTGGACCCCCCACGGCCCTGAATAGGATAAGCGGTTACAGGAAATGGATGGATGTGTATTGCCAGGAGTCTGCAGTGTGAGGAGTCTGCAGTGTGAGGAGTCTGCAGTGTGAGGAGTCTGCAGCAGCTTTTCCTGTGAGTGTCCGTAGGTTGTCAGGTGAATGGGCTTATGATACGGCTGCATGTGTGACTGTATTAAGTGCTCTTCCACCATGGCACACAAAATGACAGCTAAATTATTTAATTAAGGAGTCAACTCAAGTGTGGTATTCTTTCATTCTGAATAACAGTGACATGCGCAGACTTTTCAGATGACCGTACTGCGGGGGTAGAGGAGGCTCTTGGGTGCTCGAACAGGAGGGCAAGACTGTATTGTTACAGCTGCATCTACACTATTTATATGAATTTATGTGAAATCAGTTCCATTTTAATTGTACTTCCTTATATTCAAAGTTGAATTGTGATTTTGCACCGTGTTTCAACCAATTTTATTAATTTTATTTGATCTTCAGGGTCATTTTCAAGTTAATTCTAAATGGTGCACAACCCTGTTATGTATTCAAATTGCATACAGGTGATACAACAACAAGCCTCATTTGCGCTAATTTATAGTCAACATTATAGTTTTATGTTGTAATATTGACCTTGAATTATTTCATCGGCATTATTTTGTTGTCCAAAAAGGAGCGTCGCTGTGTCAGAACAGCAGGCAAAAGTTCAAATAAAGAATGACATAGAAAATAACAAGTGAGACAGAGCACTCGTACATTTAAAAGCAAGATTACAAACTACTTTAGTTACGATGGGATTCGAGAAACACTCGTTAACTAACATTTGATCTTAAGTGGTAGATAATGAACTACTTAGCTTTACAAAACTTTCGGGAAACGCACCCCTGACAGGTGAGAGTTTCGGGGAGTCAGTCTCCACTCTCACCTCCTCCATCTTCCTCATGCTCGGCTGCATGGTGAAGTAGCACTGCTGCCCAAGAGCCTCTTCTTCCTCCACACCACGATCGTCTGCGCAGACAGCCAGCTGTGGGCACACAGGAGTACCGGTAACACAATCATACATTCGTGATCCTTCAAATACTAGAAGCTGTCGGAACAGGCCTGACTACTTCATCACCCACCCCCCATCTAACTCGTACTCCTTCCACACCCCTACACTAGGCTTAGGTGGTATTTCATTTTTCATACCATTATACTGTCCACACATTGTATTTTCACAGTATGTTGAAAAGTAACTCTAGTCCATAATGTGAAATCTTGCCAGAGGGATCCCCACTAGAAAATATGCTGAAAGACAATACCGCGGTATACTGAAACTATTACCAAACAACTCTCTTCACTTCTCCCAAAAAATCTTTATGAAAAGCCCAATACATGTACTTGCCCAATACTACAGTCACTGTCCTTTCATGTGTCACCACTGACCTGGACTAGGGCTAAGGTGACATGTTAAATTCCCCCATGATAAAATTTTCCAAATGGGGAGGGGGGTTTTCATGATAAATTTCACTGATCTGTTAGTTGGTACTTATAAATTTCACTAGACTGCATAAAAAAAAAATTACACGTTTTTTTAACACATTTAGAAAATCATCTTACGTTCCCCCGTGCTACAGTGTGGCATTGCTTTCATTTTAGTGCCATTTGTGAAAATTTGACCACTTCCAGATCATCACCCATACAATGTCGCTGCATAGTTTGGAAAAAATCCATCAAATACTTTTAGTGTTACTGTGTTCACAAGATCATGTATGTTCTACAGCTGCCCTTTCCTTCCTTTGCTGCCACTTAGCACTCCTGCTTCAGTTTCAGGGTGATTTGTCTCAAAATAAAATCAGGTGTAGACCAAGATCCATCAAATACACTTTGACTTATTAAATTCACAAGGTCAAATGTCATCTGCAGGCACCCTTCCCTTTGCTGCCACTAAGCGGTGTTGCTTCAATTTGGGGACATTTGGTATCCAAATCTGACTAGATCCAGTTCTTTACCCACTCAAATACTTTCTGAGTTATTGTGGTAGCGGGATCAAGTGTCAAAACTGCCCTTTTCTTTTCTAGCACTATGTGGCACTGCTTCAGTTTTGTCTCAAAATATATCGGTTACTATCTTCATCTTTATCATTTTCAGCAAAGTTTGAAAAAGATCCATTAAATGATTTTTGAGTTATTATATGGGATCCACAGGCACCGTACCCCCCATGGTGGTTCAGCGGTTGCCGTTCCCCGCCTGCTGATCTCCCTCTGGGAGTCAGGCTTCCAGCTCTCCTTCAGTTCCGCTTCATGCCGCTCATAGCGCATCCTGTATCTCTCAGAGGGTGGGGGGAGATCACTGGGCACCATCATCTCTTCACCCCATGGGCTGGACTGACAGATATTGACAGCTTATCACCAATGTTGTGCCTTCATAAAAGCACCAGATAGACCTCTGGATGTTTAGGATAAAAGCACATGATAACTGGAGAATTATACAACTGTAAACGAAAAATGCTAAACATGCTATGCTGATGGTGCATTTAACTGAAGGGGCATTCCAATGAGGAGGAAATTACATTATCAACTGACTTGGTAACGTGGAATGGAGGCGGGAGGACTCCAGCTCAGGGCAGACGAGGAGTCGGGAGGACTGATGTGACATGCGGGATTATATGTGACATCCTGTGCAACAGCAACATGAACAATGACAAAGCACAACAACAATGGCTGTCAAATGTATATACATGCAGACATGGGGTGAGGAGTGAAAAAGACAGATATACAACATAAACAGGGATTTGGAGATGAAATACATCCAACTTCCTCTGTCTGCTAGTGTTTAACATCCAACTGACCAAGGAAAAGATGTTTTATGATGTCATCAATTTAACTAATATTTATGTTTGTGCTAGCTAATATTTGTATTCATGATGACCGTTTGGATGGATTACTTTATATAACTAATTTAAACTATTTAACATTGATAGCTAGATAGCTAGCTAATAATCATTATTGTTAATTATGAATATAAAGTGAGATTAGTGTATATCTTGTTGACACTGACATATTTGCCTTGGTGACAACAATCCATGTAAGTGTATTTAAATATTAAATTGCTCGCTGACAGTTATGTAAAGTTAGGCTAATGTTTGTGGTGCTATGGGTGTCTCATTGCATTATTTAATTTCTGAGAAAGTGCATTTTTCATGCTCCTGAAACAATGGATTTTTGGAGATGTGTGCATTCAATTAGACAACAACAAAATGTAGCTATAAGTGGTGAGACAATTACAAAAACAGCTACAAAGGTGACACTGTTATAGATCACTGACAATCAGCAAATTACCAAGATCACCAAAATTCCAACAATGACAAATTTCTAAAGATGCCAGAGTCCATGTCCTAAACAGACTGCTGCAAATGCTTGCTTAGAGCCCTGAAAAGTGATTAACATAATAATGAATGATTAAATCATTTACCTCATCCTCAAACAGTTCATGTAGATTCAATGCAGGAACTCTGCAACAAGTAAGAGACATTAATAACATATTTCATACTTTCCAACAGCCTGTTCTGTCACCTTAAGCCCCCAATTTAAGGTTACCCAACTGAGGCTAGGGTTAGGATTACAAAGGTTATGGATTTTTCAGACATCGAAATATGTTTTTATGACAGGGCAACTGTATAATCAAAGTTTGGCTTGATTTAATATATATCCAGGTTTTCAGTAAAAATGTACTGGGCCTTTGCTTGCTTAATCTATTCAAAGTTGGAAAATTGTTTTGGACATACAGCTAGCTAGGAATACTGAGTACCAATCTGGGCTGAATTCATTTATTAGAAAAGTGTAATTCTCAGCTTCTTGGGAGCAAGATGAGCTACTTTAAACTGCTATGTGGATTTAAACAGTAATGAAGAAACCAACAAAATGGTATGAACAAAGTACTTTTCACATACACTCACCTAAAGGATTATTAGGAACACCTGTTCAATTTCTCATTAATGCAATTATCTAATCAACCAATCACATGGCAGTTGCTTCAA